GCTTCGGGTGCGCTTGAGTCCAGGTCAAAAAGCCGTGCTCGTTTGGTCAGGGACACGTGTGGCGTTACATTGGCTCCCGCCAACGTGGGTCCAGGGGCCGAGGAAATGGTCCCCGCCTGAAATAACGACTCAGGTTGCCTCCATTCCATTATTGGAAGCTAAGTCGGACCTCCCTCCCCCCCCGTTCGTCCTTTTTGTGACGCGTGTCTGACTTTACTTAATGCGGAGTAAAATGCTCCATCAGACGGGTCCCACCTCATGTTTTCTCCCATTATGATATTATATCATTCTTTTTCTTATTATAAATCATTTATATCTCAAACCGTAAATTAAAGAATATATTAAATTAAACGATTTTTTCTTATTTATCCTTATTAAATAAAGACTATATTTGTGGTTGTGTTGGATTAAAAGTTGAGAGAGGGAGGGAGGGGATGGACTGTATAAGAAATAAAAAATTGAGAGAGAGATAGAGAGGGAGAGGGAGAGGGAGAGGAACGTGTTGCAAGAAGCCATTGCTTCAAACTTAAATTAATTAATTTTTTATTAAATTAATAGGGGTGACACTTGAAAAAGATCATTAATTACACTACAAATGACTTATATTTTGAAACAAACTTTTATGATATAAATGACCTATAATAAGAAATAGAGTGGTACTGTATTACTACTATTTGTATTTTCGCCTTCTTATTAGTACTCTTCCGATCCTATTTAGAGAACAGATCGATTCTTAGTCTTATTTATAAACCACTTCATTAAAACTTTAGCATAAATATATTATTTTATCCTTCATTTATCATAGTGTAAATGATTATTTTTTAAAGGTATACGTATTAATTAAGGATAAAATTAAAAAGTTATTATATTTTAATAAAAAGTTAATACAGTTTAAAATTTTTCTTAATCTGTGTGAAATACGTTGAAAGGTTAGGGAGAAATATTTGAAATTCTTTTAACGAGGAATATGTGTATCTGGCTGTGCGGGTGCATGTGTGTAAGTTATCTGTTTTAATGGTAAGTGCATGAACCACAAGAGGGGCTGAAAATGCAAGGGATATAAGGAAGAGTTGATGAGGACATATGAAAGTTGATGCGGATTTTAGGGATTTAAAACACTGTTTAGATTAATGGAAATAAATTGGTATCAAGTCAGGAGCTGTCATAAGCAAGCCAGCCACAAGAAGTTAAGAGAGTCTTAAGAAGAGGGAATCTAATCTGCGCTCAAATGAAGAAACAGACAAAAGTTATGTGTTACTCCCTCCGTTCCTTATTATAAGAGACATTTGATGCTTATGGCATGTTTTTATATATAAGAGACACTTACAAATTGTCTCTATTTTTTTGTGTTGATTTACTATTTTATCCATATTTATTATCTCCAACTCACACTCTCTCTCCCTCCCACTTCTCTTTCTTTTAATAATTTAATTGTTCTCTCTCATGCTCTCTCTCCTTATTAATGAGGGCATTTTTGAAAAAAAATTATATTTTTTACACATTAATTGTTCTTAACTAATTTTAACTGTTTTTTTTATTAACGTACTTCGGTTATTTGTCTCTTATAATAAAGAACGGAGGGAGTACTACTCTATAATTATACTTACTTTCTCTCTCTTATTTTCATTCCCTCTGATTAATGCTCATTTTGTGCATTATTGTCGCCCCCCCCCCCCCGGGCAACCTGAAGGAATAGTTAACAAGGTAATAATGGTACCGTTGTATTTGTATGTAAGTAACTGCCAGGTAGTAAACCAGTGATTCTCGAGTAAACAAATCATTAAAATATATAGGAAATCAAAATAAGTCTCGGAGAAATAAATCGCCACACATGAATAACAAAGTGATTTCAGTGATGAAACCTGAAGGGGAGGGAGGGGTTTAATTATCATGATGAGTGTATTAAAAAGATGTGATAATGACATAAATGTGACGTCAAGTGTCACCACTCGTGAGGAAGAGGCTTATAATAATTGATTTAATTAAGATGAATTATATGGGGGTGGTTGATTAAACGTCACGTGATTCTTTGTGTCCATGAAGAGTGGTACGCCCATCTCTTTGCGTGCTGCCCATTTTTGCCACTGTTCCTATATTTCTTAATTATTAGTACTCTTTAGTTTGCATCCGAAAAGCGCGTCTGCTTAACTAATCAAGTGAACCAACGGCTCAGATTCCCTCCATGAACCAACGGACGTGGTTTCTTGGGCGGTGAAAAGAACAGGGACAAAGGGCAATGATGAGTCATTTTGCGAGAAGCGGTGCGTTTTAAGTTAAGACGCAGTCACTGTGCAGTGTTGCGGATCCCATTTCCTCGCATAATCCAAGCCGCCTTGGTGAAAAAATGGAGTGAAGCATAGAAGGAAATATAAAATTTAAACTCTTCTGAGGCAATAGAGAGGATGCAACTCTCCGAGAAACAGAGTTTATCGGGGGGGGGGGGGGGGGAAGATAAAATCAATATAAAATTTCAAATAAGAAATGTAATCACTAAAAAAAAAAAACAAGAAGAAGTTATCAACATAGAGTGACAAGTTCCAATGAATTAAAATAGCTGTTTTATAATTTTATCCATATTTAGCATATATGCTTTGTTGACACAATAATAATATATACCATAATAAATAAAAGATAACATGGTATATTTATATTAAAAATTTAATAATACGACTTATAAATTAGATAAAATAAATTTTTTTTACCCTCTAAATGAGATTGAAAGAGTATACATGTGTGTATTTTTTTAAGGCTCTTTTTCATGGGATTAGAGAGGCTTTAGGAGTGTTTCGTAACCCTTAAAGGCACTTTAAAATACTTTTACACCAGGAGAGACAATATTCTTCTTATATTTATTTAGTATTACTGTTGGTTCTAAATATAATATCTAATTTATTTTATTTTTTTAAGCTTATAATGTGTTCTTAAAAATATTCCTATTGATTGTAAAATATTTTTACCTAATTAAGCGTAGTTTCAATGTACATGATTGAAGAATAGTAATTTAAAAAAGTCAAAACACATTTGTTACAAATAAATAATTTAAATAATTTTTTTAATCTTCTCAAATTAGTCATATAGTTTTTACATTAAAGACTGAAAATAATATATCTTTATGATAATAAATACATATTCATTTCGTATATAGTAAAATAAAATAAAAAATCCATCATTGTGGGTGACAGAGTCTGTGAATTCAATCTCCCCAGTTGAGCCTCTCTCAAATTTAAAAATAAAAATCAAAGTTAAAAAGAGCAGAGACTCACCTGTACCGTACTGTTGACAAAAGATCAAATTGACGATTTTTATTTTAGACCGTCTTTGCTAGCTTCTCATGCCCTATTTGGCATGATATTAAAAATTACTACCTCTAGTTTTATATATAAACTTTAAATCATTGAATTACGTTTAACGAACTAACACTTAAAATTAGTTAAGAATAATAAATAGGTCATAAATATTTTTTTTTCCAAATTCATTCTTATTTATTAAGAGAGTAAATGAGAATGAAAAAATGATGAAAGAAAATATATGAGATGATATTAATATGTGTGTGAGAGAGTACTAAATATAGTTAACTAAGGGTAAAATAGGAAGAAAAGTAATAAATGCTTAAACAAACTCAAAAATAAAGTTTATATTTTGCATTAGACCCATCTTTAAAAATGAAACTTATAAATAGGACTGAAGGAAGTACTTATAAGTATGTTCATAAGCTGAGATAAAATTTCTCTCATATACTTATCTCCCATTTTGTAAAATGATTAAAAAATTATATATAAACTATTCAAAACGGGTCGCAAGTGGTCAATTAGTGATGGGGCGACACTTCTCATCATCATTGTTTCCCATCCTTTGGTTCAATTTGTAATTTGCTTTCCTGTGTCTCTTATAACAACCAATTAAGTTTTTTTTTTCAATTAATTCTACTTAATAACCTGGACAAACTTAATGTTTTATCGATGCTAATTAATATAGCTGATCACCCAATTGTCAAGATTCACACAAAGGGGCTTAGTCATTAAACTCGTTATCAACCCCGCGACTCCTTACTTTAATTTCGTGCTCGGATGAAAAAAAATCAGGGGGGAAAAATACCTGATTTTTTACTATTTTCAAAAAAAAAAAATTCTTCCCAATACTTATCTTTTATTTTTGTCTCAGTTTTTGTTCTATCCACAACATAGCCTAAAGCATTTCATAATTAACGATGATCGATCTCCTTCGTAATTGTTCTTGCAACCACCCAACCACTGCTCGACAGCAGCTTCGTCATCACGTTTGATTTAAAGGAAACATATTCAGAATAAGTATTAAAAAAATACAATAGTTGTTATTTTAAAATATTTATTTTCATTACTTTTCAAGCTAGAGTTTGAAGATATTTTCCTATATAAAACCTTTTCCCATTTCAATTATGCAACACACACACACACCCCTCACTGTCAACTTGTCATGTACTCGTATTATTCGTTTATTTGCAAGATTATAAGAAATCATAATTGTTACATTGTCCTCACTCTCCTGGAGCTTGTTTTGATTTCGCGTCGTAGTTACATAGATGGTCTCCTCTGGCTAAAGTTTCCTATCAAATTTTGTTCAATTTAAATATATTTCACTTTTTAAATCACTCGCTACACCAATTAGTACCGTGCTGACAAAAAAATGGAAGGGGAAAAAAAAAGAAAAAAAGAAACATGAACTCTTGGTTGTACGTCTGCCTGATTAGCTATATTGTCGCTTAAACTATAAATTTGTTATATATGAGTTATAATTTCTAAATTTTAAGATTTATCAATCCTCTCGGAAATTCACATCTCAACTAGCTTAGCGTACTCAAGATAGATTTATAGGCGAATGCGTCCTCCGTACAGGTTGAGTTTTAAATTAAAATGTAGTGTGGATAAATTAGAAGCCTCCTCCAAATTAAAATTTGTCAGTTGTTCTTCATAAAGCGTACAACTCAACCAGTGTATTTAAGATTAATAAGTCGCAGGGCAAGGTTAAACTTTCAATTTTACCTAGAAGTCTATAGCTGGGAAAGATGTTTGAACAGATTAAACAACAACAAAAAAATCTCCATAAACAATGTTGGAGCACATATAATTAGAATTAGAATTATAACTTGATACCAAAGACAGAATCTGACACAAATTTTGTGAAGCAAGCATATCTAAAAGCCCCACTCCAACAGCGAAAATGGATAAGGCGGCGGCGGCGGCCTCGGTTTGCTCTGGGTATCCGGCGCCATATCTGTAAAACATGTCAATAATTGACCGTCACCGGCGTGACATTCCGAATACGTCCCTCCTAGAGGCGGCCATACGGTTCCCACCGCCGTGGAAACGGTGGTGTCGCTATTACTCTGTTGACTCCGAGGAGGTGTGTCAAGTGTTGCCTGGCTTTTGCCCCACCAATACGGTGATGATTCCTGCGGCGGAGAAGATTGACAAAAATTACGAGTTTCGAAACCAGTAGTCTCCGGCGACCAAGGCATAATACCTCCCACCACAGTTGCCTCGTCTTCTTCCACCTTTGTTTTGACAGCCATGCCAGACGAAGACGAGGACGAGGTGGTGGCAGCGGCGGCCGATGATATCAGGCGCCGCCTCTTCTCCGCCAACTGTCTTCCTTCTCTCTTGGCCAATACGCGGGATAGAGCATCAGGGTCCTCCACCACGTTGCACAGAAACGCCATCATTTTCTGAGGTCGTCTCTCCGTTGCCTCCAACCTCTTATTCATCCCTTCCACCTCCTTGTCCAGCGCCTTCTGCTCCTCCTTCAACCTCGCTATCTCCATCACCAACACTTCTTCATCCACTTCCTCCATCAGCTTCCCCTCCAAACCCTCATGATAACACATAATATTCTTATTCTTGTGCTGCTTCTTCCTCACTATGTTCACCAACAGCTGCTTCTGCCCGCGAAGGAACCACTCGTTCGCAAACTCCCATCGATCTGGATCCACCTTTTTGAAACCCTATCACGAATTCCATCACACACATGCACATGATAAGAAAGCAAAGATTGCGATGCTTAAATAAAAGAGGCTGTTAAATGAAAAGAAAACTCCATGGAAGTTATGGAGGAAGCTAACATAGGTATTGAGCTGACGAACGAAGCTGGAGAAGTTGTTGTGCTTGAAATACGCTGGTAAGATCCTGCGGGAGAAATCCAAAGGGTCGACGACGATGAAGCTATTATTGGCTGGCCCCCAAGCGACGAGATCATCGGTCCTGGGATCGTTGACTATGTGGTACGTCTTCATGACGAACGGCGCAATCACGTCGTTCTGCTCCATCCCATACTCTCTCTCTCTCTCTCTCTCTCTCTCTCTCTGGACGATGCGGGTGTGTTTTGTGTGAATCTGACTGCGCCTGTTTTTCTATTTTTGGTGGGAGGTTCGCTTTCTCAAGGATGATGGAGCACCACCGTAATATATAAAGGGACGCGCACACAGTAACAGATGCGGCTAACGTGGCGATCTTTGGGAGCGACGAGATGGACCCACATACCTCTTTCTTTTTCCTTTTTTGTCAAAACCCATTTTTTGTGACACGTCATGCCTGATGGGCGTTGAGATATTTTGGAAGGGGACAAACGACGGGAAGCACGCGCGTATTGAGAGAGTGAGAGAAACGCTTAAAGAGCGCGAGTGAGTGCGCAAGTGGGGTGGTCCCCATTGGACTAAACGACCCGCTTTTCATTGGGTGCTGCTGCGTTATCGCTCCCTAATCTTTTTCGAGGATTTAACCGAGCATGACCAAGTGAGGGGCAGCTTAACCAATGTGACCATTTGTTAAAATTCTTATACTCCTCCGATCCTTAATATAAGACCTATTTAACTAATTTGATTAGATTAAGAAAGTTAGATAAGTTAGTTAATTATAAAAAATGTGACACGTTTTTCCTAAAATACTATAATCATCTTTTTTAATACTTCATTTTTCTCTTCTACTTGATTATAGTTGAAGGAGTGTCCATAGGGGTAATTTAGAAAAAATTGATAAATATAAAAAATGGGTCTTATATTTAGGACTAAAACCAACTCACCAATTGGGTCTTATATTAAGGACCGGAGAAGTATTTTATTTTGAGTATTGATTTGTTAAATTTAACGATTGTTATTATAATTAAATGGTCGGATGAAGTTTGAAGATGAAATATATATCACAGCTTGATTTTGATATATGGTTTTCATGCGAAAGAGATTGGAATGAACAGTGACAAGTGGCGAAGGTTTAGATACCTTTAGCCAAAAAGGGAACAATATTATGGTAAGGACAAAGCTATCTATTTCAGGGGGCAGTGAGAAATTACAAAATATGTATATAACTATAACTATATATATAATTAAAAAAGTTTGATTTGATGGAAAACAAATAAATTAATTAAATTAACAATGATGGGAAAGCAGCGTGGGAGGAAAATGAATGAGCACATGAAAATGGTCTGTATGAGCAGAGAAAACACGGCAGACCGTGATTGCAATATTTTATACTTTAGATTCGGGGACAGGATTTATTTATTTTTAAAATGCAAAATCAGTGTGATCATTGGCGAAATAAAGAAATGGAATTGGAGGAATAAAGAAAAGGCTAGCTTGACTTGAACAGCGGGTTAAGATTCGAGTACGCGTCGTCCCCTGGTTGGTCCACGTGTAATCTTCTCCATTGGTATTATGGTGTTTCAACGCCGGGGAGCAGATGATTGGTATTTCATTTCGTACTCTTACGAAAGTTTCTCCGATGGATCCATGGTGAGCCCCGTGAAGAAGCCAGAAGAGCAACTCGGTTGAAGTCAACGTGAGGGTAGGAAAAAGGTTTTCACTCCAACCTCTAATACACATAAATGTATAAAATACTATAGTAACTAGTTTTAGAGATAAGTAGCGGAAAGAATATATATATATATATATATACTATCTCCAGTTTTATTTATAAAACTTCGTTTGCGGTCTATAAATGAGATTTTATAAATTGGACGGAGGTAGTGTATATATTTATATGCGGAGAGGAGGGATGAGAATGTGGACGATGGTTGATTGGAGGTTGCCCGTTGGGGAAAGGAGAGATCCATTACTTAACAAAAGTGGTAATGGGGGGAATAATTAATATAATATAATATGATAGGAGGGGAAGAGCTGGAAGCTAAGGCATCTTTAATTGGAGCAATATATTACTACCTCTGGTTTTTAATATAAGACTCTGTTTAATTTTTATTTTGGTTCTAATTATAAGATCCCAGTTCACTTTGTCTCTCATATTTATACATTTTTTTTCAAAGTAGTTCTTCTAACAATAATAATTCTAGTCAATACACTTGATTAGTGAGGATATTTTAGGAAAGATAACACATATTTAGGACAAATAACTAATTCAACTCACTTCTTTAATCTCTTCAAATTAGTCAAGTGACTCTTATAATTATGATCGGAGGTAGTATTATGCTTATGTAGAGGTCTTGGGGCACTCGGGGTGGGGCTCCAAGAACACGTGAATTATATTCCGCGCCCTAGCATATGCCTCCAAGAAAAGAATACTCACCCTACGTGTGTGAATATATATATATATATATATATCTCCCCCTGGCCACCACCAAAACATATAATTAATCCTCCTAATAACTTGGCTTCAACCCATTCTTATTATTATTATTATTGCATTAGTGCAAGCTAAGTGCGCCGTATTTTTCCTTTGCCTCTCCAATCTCCATCCTGCATCAGCACTACAGTAGGAACCAAACCAATAATATCTATCTGCAGAACAACATATTATTATTAAAGCATAATGCAAATCAGAAGCATGACCATCCCCGTGTGAAAGGAGCTTGGAATAAGGGTTTTGACTGCATGCCATATACGCTTTGTTTGTTCAGAGATTCCCCAAATGGTCAAATATAGTAGCAGGGGCACTGCCCTTTGCTTCAAGGTATCTACATTAATTGGGCGGACCTACTTAGGCATGACAACGACATAAATAACACCTGTCTTTCATTTTGTGGACCCCCAAAAAAAAAAAATGCTCTTCTTTTTCTTATTTAGCTCCTCTGCGTCTTCATTATTCTTGCATGCACCCCCTCACTGTCACATACAAATCCATTACATCTCAAATCCAGTTCTTGTTTATTTATTACCCCCGCCTCTCTCTCTCTCTCTATATATATATTCCTTCTCTTTTTCTTGTCAAACCAGCCTCATTAATTGTGCCCCTCTGATTTGTTTTTCAATTCAATCTCGTCAGTAATCCACCACACAATCAAGCCCGCGTAGGTAATCATAGCATATATAATAACATTGGGTCCCCTCTGGCCTCCCTAATGCAGTAATTAATTACTGCCTCCATTCTTAATATTAAAGTTAATTGGAGGTTTGAGTTTGGTCCTAAGACGTCAATCAGTTTTGTCCCTCAGCCCAGTCCATGTTAAACATGTTGGTATCATTGGCAGTTTCAATGTAGAGGATGGAAGAGGATATTTTAAGAAAACTAATACAGATTTTTAACAAATACCTAATTTAATTAGTTTTCTACAACTATCCAAGTTAATTAGGTAAATCTTATATCAATACCCTATTTTGACATTATAGTATATCATTAAATTATGAAGCTCACGAGTCTTGAATACCAACGTAGGACAGTTTCCAATTGTTTGGTTAATCAGAAAAAAAACTATATTGATAGTGTGATTGAAGAAGATTGAGTAGCTGATTGGTGGATTATTGGTCAAGGGATTTGATAACACACAGCAGAATTAGGTTTTCCGTTTTAGGGTGTAAGTTTGGTAAACGACTCCATTTATAGCAACAGTCACCAACACATGGATTACTGAGTCCACCAATCACTTTTACTTAACGGCGAACAAACCCAAGCTTTTTCACTGATCATCTCTCTTAGCTAATAGTGTGCTAATTGACTTTAATTATCAGATGGGGATCTGAACGGCAGCCTGAAATTATTTGAAATAACTAATTAACTAACACCAATGAGTTTCGTGTGTGAATGAATTATATTCATTTATATATGATTTGAAGTTCAAGTATTTTGATTTTGTAGTTCAATTGCACTTGAAATATTTTTATGTAATTCATTTCAAGGCTTGAGCTGTACATATAAGGACATAGTCAGCTTATGAATGGGACAGGATTACAACGGTGTATGTGCGGATTAAACAAGGACGGTATTATATTGAGAGGAAGAATGGATGAAAGAGACAGATATTTAAGGTAAGATGAGCCAGATTTTAAAGTGCATGCTTATCACAAAAGATCAGATTAGTTTCTATGTCAGCCAGGTGAGAAGAAAATGGAGGCTTCATTAAAAGTGCCCTAAGACTCAGGCCAGATCTACGAAATCTAACTGCGATCTGCAGCAGTACGTGGACTTCAACACGTGTCATCAAGAAGGGTCCAGACTAAAGAACACGTTAACGAGTCTTCGCAAGTTCAACGTTGTACTGTTCCAATTCTATCACGGTCCTGCGTACTCCTGGAGAATTTTAGCGTGCGGAGAGTGATAATAATATCTTAATTTTGTACATGTATTATATGTACGTAGAGGTGAAGTTTGGCTTAAGCAGAGACAACCCAAGTCACTGTAATGTCGGTAAGATGAATAAGTTTCAGCAAACTTTAATCCTGGATCAGGGTTTTACGGACATGATGTGTAAAAGTTGAGAATTTAATTTCATCAGTTCTGCAACTACTCTCGGCTTTAGCTGTTTGGCGTCATGTGCATTTAAGAACTAGCTTGACTCTCTGGGAACCTAGCTAGCTTGGAATATTCTCTCGCGTGAAACAAAGATCTTTCAAGGACATATTGAGGAAGAGAAGACAAAAGAAGCAAATTCTGCAGTGGCATTTGGAGCCACATATGTGTACTTGGTGAGCTTTCATTAGCCACATGAAGATTTAGATTCGAAACAGGAGCAAGAGGGGAGCGTGAGGGGATGATTGTGTCCTAAAGTGAACCGAGGGAAGGGACATGATGAAGAATTTGACGATCAAAACACTGTGACTTATGACACAGAGACCCTATGCCTCGCCATGTGTCCACCTAAACTGTAACAATCATGTGCTGGACAAAGCAGAAAGGAACAGGGACAGCCAAAGACATTGATAGGTAAACGAGACATATGATTGGGCAACTTTAATCCAAGCGTCTCTTTTCATCAATGGTCTTGTTGGGTGCACGCAACAGGTGGCACAAAACATTAAGTTTCAACCAGAATCTGTGATGTTGCCTTCCTTGTGTGGCGCCAGCAGAACAATTCGCCTAAACATCATACGATGCCCATATGATCTATACGTTGAAAATTGTCAGATTTTTTAACGTGATAACGTTGGTAATAATGAAGATGGATGTGATATGTTGGTTGTAATGAGAAATTCATTGGTCTAAATTTACAAAAGAATAACACATCATCGGATTTAAGAGTGCAGCAACTGACTTAAAAAATGGTGAAGGATCATATGCAGCTAAATTTTGGATGGTGAAGGTGTCAATTAATTTACCACATGTTAGGGTATGTTTGGCTCAATGAGAGGAAGGGGAGGGGAGGGGAGGGATTTTAATGGAGGAAAGGGGAGGGGAGGGGAGTGGAAGGATTTTAATATTATATTGTTTGAATTTATAAAAAAGAGGGGAGGGGAGGGAAAAATATTTTAATATGGACAATTTTGCTCTTATTTTATTTAAGGCGTGGGCATAATGGTCATAACATGACAAAATATAGACATAATGGTTACAACATGACAAAATATGAGTATAATGGTCATAATATGACAAAATATTGCTCTTTCCCTCCAAATCCCCCATTTTGGAGGGGAGGTTGAGGAGGGGAAGGGAGGGGAAATTTTAATTTTTTCCCTCCCCTCCTAAAATTTGTGTGTTACTAAACAAGAGGAAATGATTAAAATCTCTCCCCTTCCCTCTCCTCCCTCCTAAATCCCTTGTACCAAACACACCTTTAGTGACACATCAAGGTTTCTGTTTTGGAAGCGAGAAGAGAGGTGGGGCTAAACTGGTGATAAGTGTAAGTGGGGATTAAATATAAAGGCTGATGCGCTAGAATTCAATTGTTATTTGGCGAGTTAAGATGTGGGATGGTCAGAACTACAGGGGAAGCCCCCAAATGATCTTCTGATCTTGCGGGCCCTGTGCACACAAAAACGCTTACCATTTGAATGGGCCAACAAGAGTGGCAGTGGACAAACTGAAATTCGCCCCACTGATTGTGACCATAAAGATTAGAGAGTTCGGGGAATTGCAAGATTCGAGCTCTGTTTCTGCCACTTGGATCCATCGCGTATTCATTATTGATGTTCTCGTGTAAAATATGCTAAGCTGAGTATCGTTGTGTTTCGAAGCATGCAGAGGGTAAATATAATTTCAGAAAACAAGATTGTCGACACAGTTGAGATGGCCGAGTTGGTCTAAGGCGCCAGATTAAGGTTCTGGTCCGAAAGGGCGTGGGTTCAAATCCCACTCTCAACAATTTATGCGTTTTTTCGACTGGGCCAATCAAGAATAGATTCGGCCCAATAAAGTAAGCCCATCTTTTAACTCTCTGGATGTTCTTTCTCCCCTTTTCTCGGCCCAAGTCTTCATTATAAAACGATCTGTTTCTGAATCACGTGATCAAACCTATCCACCCTTTGCTGATCCGAATTTCCTAATCCTAGCCATCAAAAGTGCAATTCCCTCTTTTAAGCACTCAATCTCACGCAAAATCAGCAAACAATTGTGTACTGATTAATTACAAATTTAAAAATCACGAGACATAAAAATTGAACAAAGGATAATGGATCAACACTTATAGTTAAAAATGTTTTAAATTTGTAAAAAAAAAAAGGTGTTAAATTATTTTTGAAATAAAAATAAAGATTATTGACACGGCACAGGGAAGGCGTAAATAGATGTGCATCTATGCATTCTCAAGATGCCACCTCGTTAAGTCCGGAAAGAGCTGAATTTTATAATGAAGTGTTGTGTTGTTCTTCTGTCTAGGTTTATTACACATACTGAGGAAAATATAAATTTTTTTGATGTGTCCTCAAGACGCCATAACTTTCATCAACACAGGGCATTTATCATATTTAGCGCAAAAGCCATGATGATGGGCCAGAAAATCGGCAAAGACTGGTTAAACCAATCGGACCTACCCAATTAGCTTTGTTTAGCTTCTGGTAATTACTATCTCGTGTAACTTGGATGAAGTTTGTTTTTAGATATGCACCACTATTATTGTGTTTTCTCTTTTTTGCCCACGTTTTCTTTATCTTTTAGTGGTTGGTTGGTGATTAAACTTTTTTTTTGTCATAATATTTAACTACTTTTCTTAATTTTATAAAAGCAGTTAATAAAATATTATAAAAATAACTGGAGGAAGAAGTATCTTCTCTCAAACTGCCCCTATTATAACTCACATTAATTAATACATACAATCCATAGTCATAGTTTTTCCATGGTAAATAATCAAGAATATTTTTAATAAATCAAAACATATTTTTTCTTTATAAATAACTAATTCAATTATATATTTTTTATGTATACGAATTAGGTATTGGGCTTCTAAATTGAAGGAGCAGAAAAGTGATCATATGCGTTAATTAAAACAGAGGAGGCTAACTTTATGGATGCGGCAACATAGATCCCAAGGGGCCTTTAATTTTTCCTGTTCGTATTGCCCCCTTTACTCTTCTTTATTGGTGAGAGTGGAGGGGGAGGTGCCTGGTGAGCTAATTAAGATAAGAAGAACAGAAAGGTTGAGGTGAAGGGTAGGTGGGAATGTTAGTTCTACACTTGTGGCCGCAATTACGCAGACGAAGAAGAATTGAGATGAAGAGATGAGATGAGATGAATAAACAAACAAGTGGCCCCTTCTCCATTTCTGAACCTCTAGCTATTATGATCCCTCCCTCACCTCACGCTCATGGTCTTATTTCGCTTCCCACATCTCTTCATTCTCATCTGATGATTACTATATCTTGCGATTCTTCTCTCTCTCTCTCTCTCTCTCTTCTGTTTTTGAATACATATATATATAAGCTGATGATGATTGTGAATGTGGTTGGTGGATGCAGTCTCTGGCAAGTTCGATGGTGAGATGGATATTGAGGCTGTTCAGCTCGCTGATCGGGGAGCCAGTTGCTTCGGTGTCCACCTTGCTCTATTACAGCGGCCTTCTTCCTCCCAACACCGTCCTCATCAGGCTGGTCCGCCGCGACTTGCTTCATCATGACAATTACCTCTTCCGTTTTATCATCCACCTCCTGTCTTTAATCTGAACTTCTTTTACATGATCTGAACCCCCCCCCCCCCGGGCCAGCGCTTCTGGGAACAACAAGGTGACACTGGATCACTACTTTGTGAGGGATGCTTCTTATGTAGATGAGTTCGTTAATTAAGTGTTGGGAAGTTAACTTGGATGTGTACCTATTTATTAAATAAATCACAGCAGCATCTAGTTTGCTAATCCTGCTTTTGTTGTTGTCTCCATGGCTGTGAGGAGGAAGACAACATTTTACTCCAGCTTTTAGGTTTTATATAGATTTTTTATTTGTCATCTCATACTTGCTATTATTAAACATGTACAGATGTAAAGACTGGCTTCATTTCTTAGTTACAGAACAAATTTGTTGAGATAATTTAAAAAACCATTTTTGAAAATATTTTGGAAAATACACTTTGGGCCATGTGTTTTAAGGATAAAAAAAATAGAATATTTTTTTATCTTTTATTCCACTACATTATTAAAGAGAAGATGGTTTATTAACGACAATTATATATGTTAATAAAGCAAATCATTTTTTTTACTTTTCATTTCACTATTTTACATATTTTTTAACAATCAAATACTTTTTTATTTTTTAAAAACTTGTTATTAGTTATTTTGCAGGATTATTATTTTAAAATAAAGACCTCAATATGTGAAATTGCTATTTGGGCCCCTCAATTTGAAAATGGCAAAAAAAAGACCCTATCTCATTGCAAATATGACATCTTGATGAAATGTCTGAAATGTCTCTCAATCAAGTTGTAATTTGGTTTACTAAAGTTGTCATTCGCTAAAGTAAACTTGTCATTTCTTATAGTCAACTTGTCATTTGATATACCCTCAGCCAAATTGTGATTTGGTCTACTGAAATTGTTATTCGCTAAAGTGAATATGTCATTTCCTATAATTAACTTATCATTTGACATACCTGAGTTGTGATTTTAGACATTTCACTAAGATTTCATATTTGCAATATGAGATCGAGTCTTTATTTGTCATTTTTCAAATTGAGAGTCCTAAATAATAATTTTACATATTAGAGGGTCTTTATTTGTTATTTTTCCCGATATCAAACAAGTACATAATAAATAATTGAAGTCCTTTCATCATTTTTGTACTAGACTTACATATTCAATTCAATGAATCTGAACTAATATTAGTTACACATAAAGCTAAAAGTAAAAATGAGTTGGGGCTACATAGCAAAAGTGCTCAAGGAAATGAGATGCCTTGAAGAAATGACACAGAGACTCTTAAACTGTATAAGTACCACCAGAACTCAGATTTTGTGGCAAGGTTCCAAATTAGAAGAATTTAAACCATCAAGAGGACTAAGACAAGGCGATCCCATCTCACCCTATCTCTTCGTGCTAGGCATGGAAAAACTTACCCATCTTATCCTTGACAAAGTGAGAGAGAGAAAGTGGAGAGGTTTGAGAGCTGGAAGGAGTGGCCCTATAATTTCTCACATGATGTTTGCTGATGACTTTGTTTTATTTACAGAGGCAGAAATGCCTCAAATTGACATAATTCTTCAGGTTTTGCAGGTTTTTGGAGAGATCTCTGGACACAAGGTTAGCTGTGAAAAGACACAAATCTATTTCTCACCAAATGTCTCGCAGCGCACTAAAAAAAGAGATTTGTGATAAATGCAAATTCAAGGCAGTTGAGGACCTGGGTAAATATCTGGGAGCGAACATAGAGTTTCCAAGAAAGAAGAAAGACAAATATAAATGCATCCTGGAGAAGATCAAGAGTAAGCTTAGTGGATGGAAGGCGGAGAGCTTATCACTGGCGGGAAGGATCACCTTAGTGAAAGCAGTCACAAGCTCAATGTCCCTTTATCCTCTTCAACATGGAAGACTGCCCAAGGACATCGTGGAAGAAATTGAAAAAGCACAGAGACAGTTCATCTGGGGAGAGCAGGAAGGAAATAGGAGATGGCATGCCATTTCTTGGGATAAGCTATGTCAACCCAAAGATTATGGAGGAGTGGGAATTCAGTCCTTACAAGTTATGAATGATGCATTTCTATTAAAGATGATTTGGAAATTTAGAAATGAACCGACGGCGCTGTGGGTATAGGTGTTGAAAGCAAAATACTGTCAAGAACTAGTAAGGGGGAATGAAATGACGAGTAAAAGAACTGATTCGTAGCTCTGGAAGGAACTATGCAAGCTCAAGCATCTGTTTGAGGAGAATGCCTTCTTGGAGGTCAAAAATGGAGAATCAACCCGAGTCTAGACAGATAACTGGATCAGAGGTGTAGGTAGATTAATTTCACTTGTGCCAGATACACAAGACATAGATCGATCCCTGTGTGTAAAAGATCTTGTCAAGGAGGATGGTACGTGGGATCTTACCCCACTGAATCAAGTACTGCCGGAACGAATAAGAGATAAATTAGGGGAAATGCCGAAACTGAAAAACGAGGAGACGAACATGATCATATGGAGCCCTGACACAAAAGGCGAATTCACCATAGCAAGTACTTATAAAGCTCTAATCAGAGCACCAGAACCAAGAAACAAATTGTTTTGGAAGAAGATGTGGAAACTCCAGATTCCTGAAAGAATTGGGATTTTTCTTTTGAGGGCCTCGCTCAACAGACTCCCAACCCAAGAGATAACAAGGAAATGGGATGGAGGACAAGGGACATGCAAAAGCTGTCAACAAACAAAGGAGGATCTCATTCATGCTATGAGGGACTGTCCTGAAGCGGCTAGAATTTGGATGAAATTCATACCTGAAGCACGAAGGAATTCCTTTTTCAGTGGTAATTGGGAAAGCTGGTTCCCGAACAATGTTCTTTATAAAGGATGCAATCTAGAGGAAGCTCAATGGCCTGAAACCTTCGCCACTGTTTGCTAGTTCATCTGGCAATGGAGGAATAGTAAAGCACATGATGAGAGTTTTAGGCGACCCTGGAGAGCAGATGACATCATTAGACAGTACATTAGAAATTATACGGCAAGATGGGAGGAACAAGGAGACAGATATTAGCAAGTGGAAATTAGAAGAATTAAATGGTTACCTCCAAGAAAAGATTGGTGCACACTTAATACGGATGGAAGCATCAACTACAAAGGAAAAGCAGGATGTGGAGGAGTGATAAGGGGAGATTGTGGAGAGTGGCTGAGTGGATTTACAGTAAAATTAGAGAAGTGTGATATCAGACAAGCCGAAGCGTGGGGAATAATTGAAGGACTTCGTTTATGCAGACAAATGGGATTCAAGAAAATTGAAGTTGAATGCGATGCGGAGCAGATCGTCCAGGAAATCAGACAGGGAGCGAAAATTAAGGGTTGTTACCAGATCTCAAGGAAGCTGAAGGAACTGCTCATCCTTCAATGGCAGCTCGACTTCAAGCATATTTTCAGGGAAGGGAACCAAGTCGCAGATAAACTCGCCACTATGAGCAACGAAATGAATCAGAGAAGACTCGTTTGGAATACGCCGCCGGATTGGGTGGAAGAACTGGTCAAACTTGATGCTGCTGGGTTTGAAACCCCAAGAAGAATAGTTGTCATGTAACTGATGGGCTTGGCCCCTTTATTTCACCAAAAAAAAAAGAAGAAGCTAAAAGTAAATAGTAACTGTTAGGATTATATTTTTGATGATAACAAAGTCAGAATATCAGGGTTAAGTATTTTGATCGATCAACTGATCGAGCAATCGGTTATCGCTAAGGTTTCAGATAATGATCAAGTGTAAATCAGGTCTATAGTAGTCTTTTTGATCGAAGAACTATTCGATGAGTAATTTATCGATAAAGTGATCGATAATCACTATCGTAAAAATCACATAAGAGTATGGTAAATTATCGATAAGCTGATCGATAATATCAGGTAAACAATCAGAGACCCAAATCTGAAGTGTATTTATCGATCAAGTTATCGATAAATCAGTCATCAATAACGACCTCGATAAAAGGTAACACAATCTACTTGTTCTGCACATTAGTTCTGTTACAAATTTATCGATCATATTACCGACCATTTGTTTATCGATTACGTGTTCGAACTTTATGCTCTAACTCTCTGAATGCAGGTGATCAAATTCACTGATGGATCGATAACCTTATTGATCATAAAATTATCGATCACATGATCGATAATCAATGTCCTTACCCACTCTTACTCAGTTTTGTTACAACTAAATTATCGATAACATTATCGATAAGTTTAACTTGTTTGCTTAAATAAGTTTTCACATAACGTGATCGATAAAGAGTCTAAGAATTGACATATTCGCATTAAGTTATGGTGAACTATTTTTCGATCAAGTTATCGATCACTGGTTTTTCGATAATGTGATCGATCATTCAATTCCTCGGATTTCATGGTTTCACAAAACGTGATCGATAATCATTTCCTTTACATTAAACTTCTTCCTTCACTATTATCGATCACTTGTTCGAATGATCAATGATCGATCAACTGTTCGATCATTTCAGATAGCCTGTGTCTTTCATTGATTATTTACATAACCATGTTTTATCGATAATATTATCCATCATACATTTATCGATAAGATGTTCGATCATCAATGACTGAAGCTTCATTTCAATAACATTTGAATTATCGATAATCTGTTCGATCAAATTTGTGTTCGATCAATTGTTCGATCATGAAACGATTTCCTCTTTCTATGATAAATCTTAGAGTCAATGATCCAACACTTGATCGATAATTTTGGTGATCTATTTCGAAAAGTCTTCATTCCGTTTATCGATAACTTGATCTATCATCAAGTAATCGATCACTTTTTCGATCAAACTAAACCGGAATGACACTCTGTTCTTCTTGCTGATAAATGATTTCGTCACAAATCCTTGAATGATAAATTAGCCTTCTTTTTGTTCAAGATTAAAGCACTCACCACAAAACTCTCATTTGTTCGAATCTTAAAATATGCAGATTAATGAAAACGAGTGCAACGGCTCTTCAACGGGATTACGTAGACTGCGACCTACAGTGTCAGAAACTCAGACGCATTAATGGCGGAGCCGTTGAAACCAGCGAAACACGCAAACGAAGTCACAACGGCTAGAAGCTCTTCCGTCTAACGGCTACTTAACGGTATCAACTATAAAAGGCGCGAAGAAGCATTAATGAAGAGATTGAATACCTGAACTACCACCTGCGATTGTTTAGTTACGCATTCAATACTCTGTTTTTCACGTTACTACTGAGCATCAGTGTTTATCATTGAATTCACTCTGTAAGAGAGCCATTCACTACTTTTATTAAAAACTTGAGAGACACTCAAGAGTGTGGACTCTTGAGAGGGGTTGTATCCTTACGGGAGTAAGGGGGAGTGATTGAGCGATTCAATTACTGTA